AAGGGTAGTCACACCAAATATTGATTTGATTTAGATTTTTCTTCTGTTCGCTCACTTTGCACTTTGTAAATTGATAAGCAGAAACAATTACAATATATATTTTTGAAAGCATTCTTACTTTACAGCATTTTTTCACACCTCCTTAAAACTTTTGCACAGTACTCTATATTACGCAGCAAGGGAAATACAAACATTTAGAGTATAAACATAAATTTTAGAAACCATAAACACTGTAAATCAGTTGGAATACAAAGAAGAGGGAAGTCAGAAACCAAATACGTGTCTATGCTATATTTAATAGATTTTTTTCTATGTTTTTTTCTTTTCTTTTAGCATTTACAAATAATAATACAATGGAGATTTTAGAACTAAACTTAAAGATTTATATTCTTTTCCATACCATAAAAATAACTCAATGTACTTTGTCTAGTATGATCAATCTTTTATTAATGTTATATTGAGCATTAATGATATAACTTTAGTAATTCTCTTTGCCCACTTATACTTTTTGCAATTATATCTTTGTTTTAAATAAATACATCTCAGTTAACCACAGTACTTTTTGTTTGTGTCTAGAAATGTATTTACTTATTGTATTTTTTGTATTTACTTTATTTACTTATTTTATTTATATTTATTTATTTATATGTATTTACTAATGTATTTACTTATTGTATTTCCACCATAAACAACATGGACTTCCTTCATCTAAAACTAATGTCTATGTATACTGAGGTGAGTTATGCCACTCTGCCACGTGTAATATTGATTTAAATGCTCTGATTCATCTCCATAATCAACTGATTTTGCAACAGACCAAATTTTAACCTAACAAAGTACTGTTAATTTGCATAACGAAATATGGAGACTTCCAAACTGGAGGAGAGAAAATAAGTGTTTTAGAAGAATTATATACTCAGTGTACATATGCATGTGTGTGCGCACATGTGTGCATACACACATGAATACACACACACTCCTACCTATCAACAGCATATGAAATCTCTCAATTACATAAAATTGCCAAATTATGAAAATTGATGACAAGCAGATTGTCAGCCAGTTTGCTTCTTTGCCGCAGTGAAATACATTCCTCCCATTTTGAGTTTTAAATTATCCATATGAAAACATAAGCATAAAAATATTACGTATGATTGGGAATAGTAAAAACTTGGTGGGATGACTTATGACTAGAATATACCAACTAAAGGATACAATTTGTTGAACAGTAACAGCAGTAAGAAAAATGAAGGAGAAATTACACATCTTAAAAGCATCAACACTTGCTAAAAAATCGGAGTGAATGAATTTGGCTATGCTACACAGAGTACCTGAATTAAAGTAAATGTTGAAATAAAGTAAAGTACTGCCCATCCAAACCAAGGAGATGATACACATGATGCTTCCCAAAAGATATTTAAGAACTTTTAGAGTACAAGGGATTTCAATTACCCCTGCATCTGTTGAAAGGCAAACTCTAGGAATCATCATCCTTTCAGGACAGTACTGAATTATTTTGTTGACCATTTTCTCCTTTAGAGACTGAAAGTAGGCACAAGTCCTTGCCTTAAAAGTAATCAATAGGGAAGACTTAGTTGAAGAAATTAAAAAAAGCTGAAACACTTGAGGGAAAGCAGTGTATAATGCTGGAGTTCTCAATTTTAATAGAAACTAAAGTTTCAGGACAGTACTGAATTATTTTGTTGACCATTTTCTCCTTTAGAGACTGAAAGTAGGCACAAGTCCTTGCCTTAAAAGTAATCAATAGGGAAGACTTAGTTGAAGAAATTAAAAAAAGCTGAAACACTTGAGGGAAAGCAGTGTATAATGCTGGAGTTCTCAATTTTAATAGAAACTAAAGCTCAGTATAAACAGATGCATATTTTGTACTTCAAAAAAATAGAATTTAATCAATGCAGAGCAATTATAAGGGTTTTACAGCCTACAAAAAGGAACTCCAGATGGGTGGGAATTTGTAATAAAAACACTACTGGAAACTAATCCTATGAAGGAAGAAGAAAAGGAATAGAACACAAGAAGCCAAAGTAATTGTACAACAGGCAGAGCAAAGAGTTAAAAAACAAAACAAAACAAAACAGACACATATAGAAGGGGTAGAAAGCGAGAAAACAGATCATAGAGATATGTACAAATAGCCTGAAACTGTACCAAAGATGTCAGGGAATCTACAGCTCAGAATAAGC